CAGTGTCTACTCCTCCCTCTGAAAGCAAACAGATCCTTGTTCTTTTCCACACGTTCATTAAAAAAAACCTCTCATTGTTTCACAGTGTCCAAATGTTCTCATCCCATTGAAAACTGTTGTAAACCATATACTTGTAATAAAAATGAAATAGAAAATGGAGTGCACGTGTAATCATTAAAGACTATATGCAGAAGGAAAATATTTTTTCCTGGTTGAAATTTAGTACTTAATCTATATCTGTGTTTATAGTAACGTACAATTTATCTATGTTGTACTATCCTTAATAAACAGTTTGTCTTCTAACATCAGCCATTTAATTTCATCCCATATTGCCAGAACCAGCAATATGGGATGAAATAAAACCTGCCGTAATCTGTTCCCCCTGTCTAAATCAGGCAAAAAAAAAGGCCCCATCTTTTTCATTTTTGGCTTTTAAACATCTTTTATGATGACAACTAACTCCTGAAACTTTGGAGTTGATTGACCTTTATTTCTTAAAGTTATAAGGGGGGAACAAATTATAGCAGGCCACCTGCTATAATCTGTTCCCCCTGTCTAAATCAGGCAAAAAAGGTCCCAGCTTTTTTCATTTTTGGCTTATAAGCATCTTTTATGATGACAACTAACTCCTGAAACTTTGGAGTTGATTGACCTTTATTTCTTAAAGTTATAAGGGGGGAACAAATTATAGCAGGCCACCTGCTATAATCTGTTCCCCCTGTCTAAATCAGGCAAAAAAGGTCCCAGCTTTTTTCATTTTTGGCTTATAAGCATCTTTTATGATGACAACTAACTCCTGAAACTTTGGAGTTGATTCATTTTTGGCTTATAAGCATCTTTTATGATGCAAAAAATGAAAAAGCTGGGACCTTTTTGGCCTGATTTAGACAGGGGAGAACAGATTACAGCAGGTGGCCTGCTATAATTTGTTCCCCCCTTATAACTTTAAGAAATAAAGGTCAATCACATCAAAAGTTTCAGGAATAAATTGTCATCATAAAAGATGCTTATAAGCCAAAAATGAAAAAGCTGGGGCCTTTTTTGTCTGATTTAGACAGGGGGAACAGATTACAGCAGGTTTTATTTTATCCCATATTGCCAATTATGGCAAAATGGGGTGAAATAAAACGGCTGATGTTAGAACACAAACTGTTTATTAAGGATAGTACAACATAGATAAATTGTACGTTACTATAAACACAAATATAGATTTAGGTACTAAATTTCAACCAGGAAAAAATATTTTCCTTCTGCATATAGTCTTTAATGATTACACGTGCACTCCATTTTCTATTTCATTTTTATTACAAGTATATGGTTTACAACCGTTTTCAATGGGATGAGAACATTTGGACACTGTGAAACAATGAGAGATTTTAAAGGAAAATGTGGAAAAGAACAAGGATCTGTTTGCTTTCAGAGGAAGGAGTAGACACTGCTGTCAGCGACCAGCTTTCAAGCAAACGTTTGTGTTTTATAATCAGTTTTAAATCAATATCACTGGCGATATTCTGCTACAACACGTGAAGTAAAGAATAAAACAGTAAAGCTCAACTTTCATACACGTAAAACCTTTCAAAATTTCAAGTTCTGCACGTTGGAATTGAAGCGGAGTTAACTCGGGTTGTTCTTCCTACTCCGTGCGCGCTCCCGACGAGGGGATACAAATTTTCGCAGGGATAACTACCTTGGCACGACACCGGTACGGTAATTTCGCATTCTGTTTACTTTTTTCCATATAGTCAGATAAACAAACTCAATCCTTTAGTCCTTCGTTTAGCTATGTTGCGGTTGTTTACACTACGCCTTTTCCACCAAAAATGGCGTCTTAGCAACAAATGTCACGTGACTGGCGGAGACCGATTGAAAATCCAAGCCATGTTTGAACGCATCTCATGAAGAGGAAAAGGAAATATGAGTCACAAACCAATCGGTTGCCAGCTTTGGTGCTGCGTCACTAGTCGGCTGATGCAGGCGCGCTCCTCCCTGCGCTGCATGTCCTTAGTGTTGATAAACTGGAATAAATGCATCTGTCTCTGTTAATGCATTAGATTTCACTGCAACAGTTTATCACATGTTTGCACATGTTGTTGTTTATCACAAAAATTATCCTGTTGATTATTAGGAAATACACGTTTTAATACAGGATTAAGTTAATTGTTTCGTGTCAAGAACTTTGTGCATGACTGAAGAATGTTTTGACTATTTTTCTTAAAAATGTATTTATTTTTTGGTTTTTTTGTTATATGTACAAAATAAACAAATACACACCGGATCTTTAGTGCTGAAAAGTCTTTAACCTTAATCTGATTTTTCATACTTTTGGCTTATTAAAAAAAAAAAAAAAAAAAAAAAAAAAAGGAAGAAAATCAAAACATATGCGAGCCAACTTCTTAAATCCCTTTAAAACTGATATATTCTGACAAAAAAATTATAAGCTAGTGAAAAAACAGGAAAGGGTCCAAATGTTTTTGTATTTTCCTCTGGTGCTGCAGAACAACTTTCTGTTTGGGCTTCAGTTACATTTTTGTTTTGTTTCCTTTTTTATCATTCAATAGTTCAAAACCTTTGTTTGTTGCAGTTAGTTTTGCTTCCTTTGTTGCTTCACTCTTGTCTGACTCGTTTTGCCTACAGGTGCTGGTCATAAAATTAGAATATCATGAAAAAGTAGATTGAATTCAGTAATTCCATTTAAAAAGTGAAACTTGTATATTATATTCATACATTACATACAAACTCATATATTTCAGATGTTTATTTTGTTTAATTTTGATGATTACAAATGACAACAAATGAAAATCTCAAATTCATCATATCAGAAAATTAGAATATTGTGAAAAGGTTCAAAATTGATGGCCCCTGGTGCCACACTCTAATCAGCTAATTAACTCAAACCACCTGCAAAAGCCTTTAAATGGTCTTTCAGTCTAGTTCTATAGGCTACACAATCATGGGGAAGACTGCTGACTTGACAGTTGTCCAAAAGACGACCATCGACACCTTGCACAAGGAGGGCAAGACACAAAAGGTCATCGCTAAAGAGGCTGGCTGTTCACAGAGCTCAGTGTCCAAGCACATTAATAGAGAGGCGAAGGGAAGGAAAAGATGTGGTCGAAAAAAGTGTACAAGCAAGAGAGATAACCGCACCCTGGAGAGGATTGTGAAACAAAACCCATTCAAAAATGTGGGGGAGATTCACAAAGAGTGGACTGCAGCTGGAGTGAGTGCTTCAAGAACCACCACACACAGACGTATGAAAGACATGGGTTTCTGCTGTCGCATTCCTTGTGTCAAGCCACTCTTGAACCACAGACAGCGTCAGAAGCGTCTTGCCTGGGCTAAAGAGAAACAGGACTGGACTGCTGGTGAGTGGTCCAAAGTCATGTTCTCTGATGAAAGTAAATTTTGCATTTCCTTTGGAAATCAAGGTCCCAGAGTCTGGAGGAAAAGAAGAGAGGCACTTCATCCACGTTGCTTGAAGTCCAGTGTAAAGTTTCCACAGTCAGTGATGGTTTGGGGTGCCATGTCATCTGCTGGTGTTGGTCCATTGTGTTTTCTGAGGTCCAGGGTCAACGCAGCCACATACCAGGAAGTTTTAGAGCACTTCATGCTTCCTGCAGCTGACCAACTTTTTGGAGATGCAGATTTCATTTTCCAACAGGACTTGGCACCTGCACACAGTGCCAAAGCTACCAGTACCTGGTTGAAGGACCATGGTATCCCTGTTCTTAATTGGCCAGCAAACTCTCCTGACCTTAACCCCATAGAAAATCTATGGGGTATTGTGAAGAAGAAGATGGAATACACCAGACCCAACAATTCAGAAGAGCTAAAAGCCACTATTAGAGCAACCTGGGCTATCATAACACCTGAGCAGTGCCACAGGCTGATCGACTCCATGCCACGCCGCATTGCTGCAGTAATACAGGCCAAAGGAGGCCCAACTAAATACTGAGTGCTGTACATGCTCATACTTTTCATGTTCATACTTTTCAGTTGGCCAACATTTCTATAAATCCTTTGTTTTTATTGGTCTTCAGTAATATTCTAATTTTCTGATATGATGAATTTGAGATTTTCATTTGTTGTCATTTGTAATCATCAAAATTAAACAAAATAAACATCTGAAATATATGAGTTTGTATGTAATGTATGAATATAATATACAAGTTTCACTTTTTAAATGGAATTACTGAAATCAATCTACTTTTTCATGATATTCTAATTTTATGACCAGCACCTGTATATCCAGTAGTCTAGTTGTAAAAAAAAAAAAAAGGAAGGAGGATGGTGGAATTTTATTTTTTTTAGTTTGGAAGCGTGCATAGTCTAATTAATATAGTCTATTAACCTAAAGAAATATGCATGGTATGGTTGTTCCATGTCAGGTACGCCGGTTATTGACCTTTGACCAAGGCACCTTTCAGTAGAACTGCAGTCAGTCCCTGTACCTGCATGGCTATCATTGCCCCTACATAGTTAGTGACAACTTTCCCACTGGGATCAGTCTCATAGTCATGGTAAGCCACTTCTTTGATTTTATTTATTTTGCTCAGGCTACCTATAAGCCCACAGCCCGCCAAATGTTGAAAGTTTATTATTATTGTAATTATTGGTAATATATAGTAGAATTCTACATGTTCAGCAAAGAAATATCACAAATGATGGTATGGGGGGATGGTCATTTAACTAAAAGGGATGATTTTTAAGATTTTTTTTAAAAAGGGGGATGCAATCCCCCCTCAACTCGAGTACTACCTATATCTGGCATTTTACTGAAATTATAAATTATACTGTCACACATTTCTCACCTGCTGTCCGAGAGAAAGTAAATGCATCTCTATTGGTTCTGCAAATAAAAGCAGTGGAATCCATTTTCATTTACATTTTTTTTTTTTTTTTTTTTTCATTTTAAAATCCAGCCCTGTTGCAGGTTCAGGGGGCAGAAATGGCAGAATTTTTGTTCTGTGAAATCTGCTACAAAGTAAGACATTCAGTTGTTAGACAGTTTCTGCTCTTCAGCCTATAACATTTTTTTGTAGAAATCTTGGTGTTACACTTAAAAAATACTCATTCCATTCCAACAAGCAATAAAAACAATAATTTTTACTTTTATTAGAACATAAAGATGATTCATGAGCTCTAACATTTAACATAAATAAAAAAATACTTTTTACTGAAACAAATGTGACCATAGCTCATTTTTGTTAGAAAATTCTCATTAGATCTCTCTGAGCTGTTTCTGGGAGTTCAGGTGGAGCTCTATGTCCTGTTTGAAGAAAACCTCGCCCAGCTGGCCGTGCGAGGCCTCGTTCATGGCTTTGGTCTGCATGCACATCTTGTACTTGTCTGGAGGAAGCTCATCTGCACAGCTCTTGTCATGCCACAAGTGAAAGAGGCCTCGGGATGGAGCTCGAACTACCATCAGCTTGCTATGGAGGTACTTCCTGTACAGGTGGACGTCCTCCAGCCCCCAGCCTCTGATGCTGCGGTCAAAGCCACCTGTGAGGCCATGGAGATGAAACAAATTTGATAGCGTTTATTCCTTGAACAACAAACTAATGTATAGTTAGCATCAACCTGCAGAGATCCCACCTTGTTTTTTTGTTTTTTTTACTAATTAATAAACCTACGTTTCCATGGCAACCAATTAAGAGTTCCTGGTTTGTAGAATTGTTGCTGCTCTCACAAATGTGACTAGGATTCTTTATATTTAACAAACAATAGCGCCCAAAATGTCAGTTTTAGTCCAAAGACATTATTTAAAGTTTAAAAGTGATTCATCAAAGTTCACTGAAGCCACTTAATAAAATCCAGCTCAACCAAAAATGGTGTCCGTGGTTTGAGGGTTTTCCTGTGATATAGAAATAATTGTTTGCAACCATGGCTCCAATAAAGAAATTACCATAAAAAAGGTAATCCATAGGTTACAGACTCCCCCTGCTGGGGCAAACTCCACAGCACAATTTCATATGATTTTATTTCATACTTAAATATTTTAACTTGCGCACACATATACAAAAAGATGTTTTGATTTGAGTTTGGAATTGTGGCTGCCTGACCTAATCATAAAATTATTCCAGTCTTAAATATGATAGCAGCACAAAAAGCATTTGTGACACACACATTTTAAAAAGTCTGCAAAGGAAAAGGGCAAAATGTCTTTAGATAAGAGGTTATGGGCCAACCTGTCTGTCAGGGAATTTGTTTCTGTGCTGCATTATAAACATAAAAGCAAACTGAGAGAAATTACAGAAAAAAGTAAAGCAATGGGGACAGATAGCAGCACTTAAAGTGAATAATACATAACTCAGACACCTGATATTTCAGAGTTTCTTGAAGTGAAAAGTAGAGCTTCATCAACATATACAGGAGCATTTGTGTTTGTAACCAGTGTTAGGATAAAAACACTTGTTTCATTTTTATTCACTCATTGGTTTTATTTGCACAAATTAGCTACATTAAGAAAAACGTTTTGAATAACATGAATTTCGTTTTCCAACACTTTTTCAATTTATCAGAGGTTAATATAAAAGAAAGATTTAAGAAATTAAGAAAGAAGCAGCAACAGCCCAAAGACCAAAAAACTAGTTTATATCTATGATAAAAAATATTGAGAAAATGCAAAAGGATTGTCTATTCTATTTTGTTCTATTCTATTCTATTATATTTCTGAGTTCTTGCAAGCTTACAATCACTAAGAGGATAAGTAGAGAATAAAAAGCAATCTAATATCCCCTAGCTTTGTTAAAGTCACAAAATACAACGTAATTAAAACTAGATTTATTTTTTTCTATTAAAAGGAGGAATAATTAAGGATTAGGGATTAAAAGGACTGTTGTTTGAAACATATACATTTCTCCCTAAAGAATTAACTTTCTTATAGTGCTGCTGATAAAAATCATCACTCTTTACAATAATAAAATGGAGTTAGATTTATTTAATGTGTGTAATCCATGGGAATCTGTGTCTATATTACCAATGTTGATGAAGTCTGATCTGTACTGGCAGGTCATGCCAAATCCAAAGTCCCGCCAGAATCCATTTTCTTTTTTTATCACCTGAAACAGAAGAAAAATCCTGAAATCAACCTCATTATGATTATACTGTATCATAACCAAATGTTTGCAGTTCTTTACTCACCAGCTGTTGTTTTATAGAAGGTAGGAGGGTGAGATTGCTGTAGATGACAGATGGGTTGTACTGGCTGAAGAGCACAGGGTAGTACACCTTTTTACCTAAGAGCAACAGTGATGCAGTAATATGACAGGAAAAAGAGCCAGTAAGAAAAGGCACTGATTCATTATTTGTATTAAGTGAGGAGAAAATAATGAGAATGTGTTTAGATACAAGTCCACTGAAAAAACAATGAAGAAGAGAAAATTGAATTTTATAAGGAGAAACTCCTAAACGGCTTCTGAGACTTTCTTACCAGCTTCAGCATTCAGACGACAGGAAGTTAAGAAATCTGCTGTGAAGTGGATGTCGACATCGCAGAAGAAGAGCAGAACGTTCTGGCGTTGTCTCCAGGCCCGGGCGGCGACATCGAGGCCTCGGCCACGAGAAAACTCCTCGTTCAGTTGGATCAAGGTGAAACTTCTGAAACGAGTCTCCCTGAAACAAAAGCAATGACAGGACGGCTGTTAAATTGCTAACCAGCTCGGCTCTTTGTTTTTACCAATTAATTAGTTTATAACAACAGGATATTTGTACTTCAGCTTGTAAGATTCCCTCAAAGAAATGCCAAATAGGTTAAAAGCGATGCCCTTATTCAATCTAATATCTTGTTTTCTGTACTCTTCAAAAAATAAATGCATTTATTTACTCTTGTTGGGAAACCAGATATAAGGTTAAATTTAGGCTTTGAGATCAGTTCGACTTCATTTAGCTTAAAATGGATTTCTCTTCTCATTTCTTAAATAAATCAGTTACATAAAGTATTAAAACAGGATGTTAGCAGGTGTCCATCACATGCAGTTCAACAGGATTCTCACAGTTATACAGTGAAATAAGTGCACAGATGGAAATTTGCCTTTAAATCATCTCCTATGATTTAGTAGATCAGTTCTTAGTTTAAATAACCAGTAAATATACTGACTGTTGTGTAAGTGACTCAAAATATAAAACAGATTTAAATGCAAGGATTTCATGCATAGGTTAGGAGCTGCTGGGCAGTGAAAGGGTTTTGTAGAAATTCTTTTTTTGGAAAAAAAATAATTAATGATTTTCATTGATTACTTTAAACATAAACTAAATCCAAAAGTACCAAATGAAAATAGTAAGACATACAGATCTTATGGAAACCTCTACACCCAAAACTTTTTTTCCTAAAAATGTCCATTTATTTCTATTTTAATCACTTTTATCACTGACTCAAGAAACCAGGAATGTTGAAAAAAATTCTTTTTTTTAAATAATTTATGAAATGATTGGCAAACAGATACCTTTGCTCTGTCCTGTCTGTCAAATAACCATAGCCTGAACAGCACTTATATCAACTGTGACAGAAAAAATGTTTGACTCATTCCTATTATGACCAAAATAAGACAAAGAACTGTTGTGCTTAATCAGAGTATATGTTGGTCTCTCCACCTTGTAAGGCTCTGCTTCTAGACTTCTTCAGGCTAAAAAGTTACTCTTTGTGATTGAACACTCAAAAGAAGTGCAGAAAAAGGTTCTTAATCCCGTTTAATCTCTGTGAAAGTGTCTGCCTTACCTGGTTGTCTGATCCAACACAGCCTTCACCTGGTCTATCTGGTCCCGACCAAAGTAGACAACAGTGAGGTGAACCCTGCCGTCCTCTTGGATGCAAACCTCTCTGTACCAAACAAAATTAACACACATTTAAAATACACAGCTGCAGAGCATGCATGGCCAGATAATGACTACATCAACAATCTTAGGGGGTGCACAAAAAAAAGATGGGTAGAGGGAGGGATCCTGTAGTGTTTGACAGATAATTATTGGCATGCAACGAGGGGCAAAAATGCATAAATATATAATATTGCCTTTAGTTAGTGTTTGTTCTCTTTTGATAAAGTCTTCTGGCTAGGATATCCAGTTGGGTCAGTTTATTTAATTGTTTTCATTCATTATGTTTTTATGATAGCAGGGTTTTGAAAATAAACTCTTACCAAGATTTCCCTGAGGTCAACAGTTTCACATCTGTTCTGTTTGTCCGCCTCAAACTATTACCTGAAGTTGGTGATGAACTGCCTGAAGGCATCCACCCTCCCCGACAGAGGAACTATTATGTTGATGAGGATGCTTCGTGTGTTCAGGTTGTCACTCTTCACCTTCATCAAAGGCCCAAATGGCCTAAAGAGAACGAGCTGGGTGAAGTCCTGCGTGCTACTGCCTTTGAACATCAGCTCATATACAGTCCCTGTGGTCCTCTCTGTGCGAGTCAATCCTGAGCCAAAAAAAAGAGAACATCCTAAATAATCAGCTATATCTCAGGGCTTTGCACTGTATTAAACATCTTATCTCACTGTATGTGACTGAACTGGATTGATCTGAGTTCAGTATGGCCCAAATTTTATTTTAACAATCAGGGTAGGTTTAATTGTACCCTTAAAGAGCCCATTTAACACCTGCGCTATAGACCTGGTTCAGACATCACTATCACTTTAACCTTTATCGTGGTACACAGGAAAAAATATTACAAAATTAAAACAGCTACAAAGTGACTTTAAGGCATCCTAAATATGAGAGCAGAGTTGCTTTAAAATACACTCCCCATATAGAAAACTCTGTTCACTAATCAACCTCCTGGCAGTTAAAAGCAGTGTTTTTTATCAATTCCCTGTCAGATCTTTCTGTTATGCATCACTTTTAGACTGGTTTGCCAGCATTCCTGTCAGCATTGCTGTTGTTGGTTGCAGACAGGAGCTGTTTATTTCCTCACGTATCTGATCTTTGCTTCTCAGTACTTTTCCTTCAATAAACCTTCTTCTCAATATGAGAGAACTACCTCAACATTTGCACGGATAAGGTTGGGGTTATTTTGGAATGTGAAGGAACCCAGAGACAATCCATGCATGAATAGGGATGACATAAAAAAGAGGCCCAGGCTTCTATTAACCACCAGGTAGCACTGAAATTGCAATTAAAACTCAAAACATAAAATGTTCTCCGCCTCTCTCTGTTTCTGCTTTTGGGTCCAAAACCTCCACAAAACCTGACTTGATTCAAAAAGATGATAGTTAGTCTATAAGAAAAAAAATGAATGCAGCTTGTACACCTTTTCAATAACTTTGCGTTGACTTTGGAAAGTTGTTTTCCCCATTTTCTTATTTCTTTAACACAAATAAATTCTTTATCTAGAATTTCAGCACCTGTTGCTTTTGCCAATACTTTATCACAAGTTCATGTTGTAGTTATTGCCTGTTTCTAGGTGTAGATGTTAGGCTTTAAAGGTTTAATTCCTGTGTTAATTACAGGGAATTCAAAATCTGTTGGGATTCTCTATACTGTACCTGGAGCAGAATAACACAATTTGCCATGCATGCATCATCACTCAACTTGACAAGATACATTAGATTTAAATTTTTAGACAACTAGGAATGTTACTTCTTTTTGTATACCAGTATGTTATCTTTTGTTTTGTTTTTTCCTGTTTAAATAAAACCAGATGAGGAAGGTAAGCTGTATTTCACCCTGTATGAAGTCTGAAGGGGAGTAGGTGCGTTTGCTCCTGATGTTGTCAGCTCGTTGCTGGGGTCCATTCAGGACGTGCAGTGCCGTTTCCACTGTACCTATCAGCTCGTTTCTGCGGTCTCTCCTTACTGGCCTCTCAGCTGGGTGCTTGGTCAGCCCCGTTTCCAGCTGGTAGACCCTAAGTAGCACCACATTACCAGGCTCTTTACACACATAGGGATTGAGGTACAGAGCAGCTGACTGCACAGCTGTACTCACATCTGCAGGGTAAAGGTGTCATAAGGGATCAGTGCATATTCGTTGGGCAGTTCCACACCTGGTTTCACCTCTGCCTGGTTCAGCTGGGATTGGAAGAACTCCTGAAGGACACCATAAAGCAATGAGCTCATAATGTCTTGCTACTTTCAATTAGCTCACGTTAACAAAATATTCCTTATGTTTTTCTCTTTACCTTGAGATCAGACTTTGTAGGGATCTTGTGCAGACTCTCCAGACCTTGAGGTAAAATCCCTTTACTTTTAGCCTTCTCTAGGGACTCCTGAAGCTGTTGAGTTCTCTCCTCCAGAGCCTCCTTCAGCTCTCCTATCTGCTTTGTCAGACTACTAATGTAGTGTCTATGAGAGTCCTCTCTCTCCTGCAGTAAGGCCATGTATCCTTCCTTACTAGTGGCTCCTCCAGACCAAAGCAGAGAAGTGTGCTTGCGTTTGGAAGAAGGTTTACAAGCCAGCAGGTAGACGAGCAGCAGAGAGCAGCAGAGTGTCAATGTGATGAGACCAATCCGGGCCATCAGGGCCAGCAGCCACCGCCACAACATCATTGATCCTCTTTAAAACTCTCTCTAGAAATACCTAAAGGTATGTAAACAGCCTGTAGAAGGAGTTGGGGTCATTGCTCCTGTGCTAAAAATCTAAACAGCTGTTGTTGTTTACAAGTTTTTTATGACATCCTCAGGTGTTCACATGGTTGGAAGCATCTGCACTATGTTTACTTCATAGTGACTTATCCACAACAAGTTCTGAAATTGAGAGAAAAGGAGAAAAAATGTTTTCAAAGTATCCTGTTAACTGTTAACATCCATACATCCATCCATACATCCATCATCCATCTACCAATCCATCCATCCGCCTATCCATTCACCAATCCATCTATTCATCCATCCATTCATCCATTCCCCAATACAATAACCATCCATCCATCTTCTTTCCATCCATCCATCCATCCATCCATCCATCATCTATTCACCAATCCATCCATCCATCCATCCATCCATCCATCTTCTTTCCATCCATCCATCCATCCATCCATCCATCCATCCATCCATCCATCCATCCATCCATCATCCATTAATCCATCCATTCATCAATACTCCATCTATCCACCAATCTATTCATCATTCATCCATCCATCTTCCCATCTATTAATCCATCCATCCACACATCCATCCATTCGCCCTTCCATCAACCTACACATCCATATTTCAAATAAAAAATAACTTTATTTATCCCAAAAAGGATATTCAGTTTCTGTACAGCCCAACCAAGGAGGAGTGAAAGAATAGTCATATTTCAAACTTTATCCGTAAAACGACAGTCTGAGATAACAAAAACTGTTTTTTGTGTACATTTAAAAAGGTTATTTTCCTTTAACTCATTGCCAAACTGTTGTTCTATCTTTATTTTTAAAGACAAACACAATTGTAGGTTTGCAAATCTGTCACATATATAACGGCCAATGATCGCACACACAGTTAGGTAGCAGTTGTAATGGAAACAAGAGCTTCCCAAAGGTTCCTAGGTCCACACCGAATGTGTAATAACTGGCACTGGGGGAATGCACATGTTATCTTGGGTGTGTACGTAATATAAAGTGTTTGTTGCAAAATTGCAACAATGGGCGTCAAGTGGTTAAAGCCTGTCTTCTGCAGCGGTTTTGGTCTAAATAATTACTGAGCACTAAAATACTTTCAGGCTTTACGAAAGAGAGTAACATTGTTGTGTGTTTTGCATTGAAGACTTTTTATCTCAAATTCCCATTTTTAGAGAAAACTACTAATCATGTCCTTATGTGTCTAAGTTAATTGGGAGTGTGACTGCTGGAGTTTGGCTGCAATAAAATGCAGCCAAATACCACAACGCTGAGGTGGAGCGAAACAGGCTTTTCTCTGTAAGCTTCTACACCTCACCATTGGATGTGTGAGTGTATGTTGTCAAAATCGGTTTATTCAAAACACAGTTGGCTCTTTATGGCTTAGGTAGAAGCCGTTTCCATGAAAGCCTTGCTTATGTTTCCCAGTATGCTGTTTGCATATGAGTATGTGTGTGTGTGGATAAAGACAGGTTTATACAAGCATTCATGTTGTCTTGATCTGCAAAACACTTAATGCACGTGAATAAGCAGGTCTCTCAGACTGAAACTCTTAGACAATACATAATGGTCTTTTTTCATATTTTTCACTTTAAAATGTCCGGTTTTTCTCTTTTAAGCTCAGGATAAATGTTTTGCGTTTAAAGGAACCAGATTCTGGACACAGTTCCATGTAGTAAACCAGTCTCTTATAATGACATGATTCAAATATTCAAAGATAGAAACATGAATTATAATTTTTACTCAGCAAACCTCAAATTAATGAGGGATAGATGAACAGTTTGTACTCACCAAGTTTTCTGCATTCCACAAAGAAGTCACTTAAAATATCCACTAATAGAGACAACAAATCTTTGCAGGTAAGTTGGTGAAAGGTGGAAATGGAGAAGGAGCCGTTAAATGGTGCAGTTTGACCTTGTTGAAATAAACTGATCCTTCCTCCTCTCAGTCTCCACCTTTTTCCAGTGCCTCCCTCTCCAATTCACTTGATTTGCTGTTTTCCATCCCTTACTTCATTCATCTCTGAAGGATTTTACACCATCAGCTTCTTTTCTTGATTCTCTTTCTATTTCACTGAGAATGTTATTAAGTAGAAGCAAACTACCACTAGGGATGTCCTTCTTAATATTTTAATATATATCTATCTCTTTGTCTGTTTTAAACTAATAATAATGTCCCAATAAAGAGCACATTTATTGGGGTTACAATTTGATTTATTAGCATGAAAAAAAAGATTTTCAATTAAACATATTAATTTCATTTCTGAAACAAAGGTATTTCAAGAGTCCTGACTCAAAGACTAGTTGTTGTACTAATGTTTTTAATATGTGTGTATCCAACATGTATTATCCATTATAACTGAGACTGAAGGTATCCAAAATTAAATGTACATTATTTTCCATTCTTAGCAATTCTCCAAATATCATCCATTAGATTGTCTTGAGCAAACTCAGTCAGCAGAGCTGCGCCTGTGAGGAGCAAAGCGTTAGCATGACCCTATGGATTATGTTTCTGTCTTTGGTCTTTAATTTGCCCCAAGTGTCATCCATGTATCTGAATCTGGTGACTGGGTTTTGTTCCTATATATGACAGAAAGACAGAAACGCCAAGTTCACCCAGTAATATGTGAAAGATGACAGCCCTACCTTCTTGGACTACACCATTCACATCGTGGAAGACAGACAGCTCAACATACAAAGTCTACAGGAAAGTCACCCACACTGACCAGTACCTCCATTTTGACTCCCACCACCCACTGGAACAAACTAGGCATCATCAGAACCCTCCATACGCTAGCAAAAACCATTCCCATCACAAACAACGGAAAGATGACAGAACATCAACATATCAGGACAGCCCTGAGGAACTGTGGTTAAAACCTACTGGAAGAGGCCTGCTGAGAGGGTAAAAAGCACAAGAAGGAACATTGTCATTCCATATGCTGCTAGAGTCTCTGAAAAGCTGAGGAGGATTTTCCACCTGCACCTTATCCCAGTGCACTTTGAACCTGGCAACACCCTGATGCAAAAACTGACACCCAGAAACAAGGCTGACAACGTTGTTTGAGCCGTCCAGTGTAGTGAAGAGTGCACAGATCTCTACATTGGAGCCAAGCAACTGCTACACAGGCGCATGGCTCAACACAGGAGAGCCGACTCCTCGGGACAGGACTCAGCTGTTCACTTACACCTGAAGGCTAAAGGACATTTCTGGCCAAGGAAGACAGATGTTTTGAGAGAGGGGTTAAGGTAGCTATCTTTGTTAACCTGGAAAAAAACATCTCTCAACAGAGGAGGTGCTCTTAGACATTACCTGTCACCCACCTACAAGGCACTTTTAGGAATAATACCCAGAAGATTCACCTCTCACCTGCCCTCACCTGTCTCATTCTTCCAGTGGGTGGTGGGAGTCAAAATGGAGGTACTGGTCAGTGTGGGTGACTTTCCTGTAGACTTCTATATTGAGCTGTCTGTCAAAATAGACCTCTGAGGGACAGAAAGTAGAAAGAATTTTAAATGGTAACTTTGACTCTGAGAAACTCGATGTTTCACCTGAAGGGGGCGCCAAATACACAAAATAGCTATAAAATAAACCAAACACAAAGCTGAGCAAATAACTTTATTATTTTTTGTTTTGTTTCACTTTTTCAGTCATTTACATTTGTTGTCTTACAAAACGTGGAATGTGGCTGGAGTCAGAGAGAAAATGTTTTGCTGGTCACTTCAGAATCACCTTTTCCCCCTTTTTTCTCTACTATTTTACAATTTCAATACAGTGCAGGTGTCTGGCATGATCACAACAATGTGCTCTGTGGGTTTTGAGCTTTTTTCAGGCAGTATTAGGCTTTTAAGGAGAACAAAAACACTTTAGGGAGGAATGTGAAAGACAATCCTGACAAACATGTTTATGCTGGATTTCTAGTCTCTGAGGCCCTGCAGTCCTGCTGTTCCCTTTTAACTTATTTTATTCCATTAAAACGTTTACAGAGATTAGTGAGTTCAAAGTGCAATCTGCAAAAATTATAAACTTTTTTTGTTCATATACATAATATTGTGTATTTAGGTTACTTAAAAAATGTTTATTTTATGGATTAAACAAAAAAAATGTCATTTTCAAATCAGGATGCAGAGATTAAAGGAAAATTTGCAGAAAGGAAACAGCCCACTTTTATCTCTTAATTACAGAAAAATGTGTTAAAATAATAATCATTATAGATTTTAATCAACAGGTGATTCAGTTTCCTTTCTCTAACTTCAAATAATAATAAGTTAGTTATAAGACTGATGTAAAAAAAAAAAAACGAAAAATAATTTTACTTCTTAAGTCAATATCTGAAAAAACTAAACTTAAAATCAGAGTAAAAAAAAGAAAAGTAATTTTTTAACATTTAATTTGGCTTAATGTTGGCACTGAGTGCAAGGATGAAGCTGAGACGTTTTCTTCCAAGCAGATCAAAGAGAAGACAATTCATCCAACGAACCAATAAAAAAATTTTGATAAAATTATCTCAAATCACTTCATGTAATCCCCTCTTTCTTCTACATATTTTATATTTAAATTATGTTCTCAGCTTTTGGTCTGTATTCTAAAAAATGCGTTTTTTTTATCTCAAAATAGGGGTGAAAAAATCCTTTAAATTGTGTTTATTTTTATACTTCTCAATCTAATACACTTACTTAGCCTCAAATTGTGACAGTGATGGACAGGATGATTATCTTCCAATTTTCTGAACAAAAACATATCTGGGAAATAAGGAAATTGTGTTAACATCTTAAATAAACCCAATGCCATAGTGTGTCTGTTGAATAGATATTAGAACAGGCTTTCTTTTTACAAAATTGATTGAATTATTTAGCTCTAGTTAAGCTGACAGTTAAAACCCCACATATTACACTGATTTATTTATTTGAACCTTTTAACCACATTGAGTTAAATTAAAGAAAGTGCTCCTGTTCTACTGGGCCTCTATTAATGACAAGGAACAGTACAGGATTTCTGTCTGCATTTGTCTTTTATTCCCTCTCAGAAAATCGTCATCTGAAAGGCGATGTCAGCTGGTGACTTCATGCTTGTGCCCACTGTCATATGCAAAGCTGGAACACTGACTCCTCGCTTAGGCTGTTTTTCTTCCTGTCAACGCTAATTGTTGTCCAAGCGGCAGCAGAACGGCTGCCTCCTCCTCCTCCTCAGCCATGCCGTTAACCTCATTCCAGGCAGCAGTGAAGGATGTGAAGGAATGGGTGCAGGGAGGGATGCTGAAAGAAGAATGGTGGAGGGGTGTGTGGGTGGCTGAAAATAATCTCACAGCAACCCTCAGAGGCCTTTCTCCTGGTGGTATCTAGGTTACCCCATGATGACTGGCTGTGCTTCGACAGCGTGTCCCTGCTCTTGCAGGTCATGATGTGGCTAAGCACTAGGCTCCCATTCGGCTAAACCGGAGGCTATACCAGTTCATCAAGCAGAGTTCCAATGCTGTGATGCTGCTCGGGGGGGCCCGCTATGGGTTTGTTGCACATGGGGCACACACAACGCACCTCCAACCATTTTACAAGACACCTGCAAAGGAGAAAAAAAGGAATATGTTGAAATGTGAGAACTGATGAAGGTTTGATGGAAAGCAGGATGTTACAGTCTAGATCATGGGTCTGCGAGCTTCGAATGTCAAAGAGCCATTTTGCCCCGAGTCCAGCTAAATAAAAGTCATTTAGCACCGGAAATATTATATAATCTCTTGAAAAAACATAACTTATTATTTTTGTTAAAGCTCTACTGTAGGAAATCTGTTGCCACTGTAAAAAAAAAAAAAAAACAACAGTTTATTTGTATTTTTGTTATGGTTCTGTTTGAGTTTTCATTGGTTTAATTTCCATTTTGTGTTGCTTTCTGGTTGCAATTGAGTTTTTATGTATTTCTTGTTTACTCTCTGTTACCCTCTTGTGTGAGTCTCCTTCCCCTGGCTCCCTTCTAGATTCTTCCATCCACACCTAATCTGCTGTCACCTGTTCTGTGTCCCATTTATACCCCTCTTGTGCAGTTTCTAATTGCCGGTTCATCATCATTCCCTGCTCCTCACGTGTGTTTTCCCTGATGTCTTCTGGTTTTTGGTTTTCTATTTTTTTTTTTTTTTTTTTTTTTTTACCTTGCTTCTGTTACATTTGGATCTACATTAAAACTACAAGAAACCACCTCAATTCCTGTCTCTGCATTTGGGTCCTCTAAAAACCTCCACAAAACCTGACAATTGTTAGGTTTTAAAACATTGAAAATGTAAAACATTTCATCATGTGGATCATGTGGATTTTTCTCTATAGGAGATTATTTGATGTGTAAAAAGATGAAATAATCAGAAACAAAAGAAAAAACATATATTGTACTTTTAATGACATTTTTTGTGAAAATGAAATTTCATTTTTCTTTAAAAAGAATTTCAATAAACTACATCATGCCACCATGGAGGAGAAACTTCACCGTGATTGGCTCACAATAAAGAGTTGTTACAACTCCAGAGACAAGAAATAAAAACCTCTAACACTGGCCTGAAACAGGAGCACATCAATTATTTTCTATATGTTTACCAGCTTATGCCCAATTATTTTGTACAGTATTCTATAGGTATGTAAATTGAATAGCCATTTAATAAACAGGTAGAACTTCTCACTCTTAGCTCTGGGCTTGTTTAAATTGTTTTCTTAGCCAGGACTTTACTTTTTTTATTCTCAACCAGTCCTTGTGGGATTTATTTGTACGTTTTGTTCATCTTTTTATGTTGAATTAGTCCCAGTTCATTTTGTCTTTCCCAAATGTTGTATTTTCGTTAAGCTCTCTCTATATTATAGGTATGTTAGGTACAGAAACATACATCATCATACTATGATGCTTCTAACTCTATGCTTTATAGTTTGATATTAAAAAATATATATATTTTTCTAGACTGCATGATTTCTACTTTGGTTTCAAAATCACTTGTAAACCCATCTAGTTCCCTCTTCTCTGTCTACATTCTTTCTGGCAAAGGTCAGTCTGGCCTGTTTCCTCAGAGAACAAAGGTTTCCTCATTGCACACGTCATGAAAGTTAAATAAAAGGTACATTGATAAAGTTTTAGGGGTTATGGAGAGTTTTTTTAGCACCCTCCAGTCTGCGTCTGAATCTTGCATGGGAAGTGGTGCCTAACTAGAGCAGAGAACTTGGACCCTGGGAGGTTCCTTCATTCAAATCTCACAAAAAGCTCCCTGTTACTGCAAGATGGCAGCTCACTACCCCCCAGAGGGATGGGTTAAAAACAGACGCAGGCATGCTGAAAGTTGTTTTGAATATCTTCCACCTGTGGGTTATTTACTGTAAAATGTAATGGCTGAATTCAGATTTTCTTGAGACCTAAATACCTGCAACCTTCTTGGATCTCACCATGGAGTTCAGCATGATTTCAATGGTCAGGAGTATGCCCAGCTAAATGTCTACGGTTTAGATAGGGTAAACCTTCTTTGTGATAATGTATAATGTTGTTGCCTTCTGCAACTGATGTGACACTGATGTTTAGGATTCTATATTCTTATTTTTAGAGGAAAAAAGGTTGTGGTGCCTTATTCATTCCTCACCAAAAATCGTAATTTAAAACGAAAAAGTATATATACATTTCTTTTAATTTTCGTGTTTTGTTTGGTTTTTTTTACAAAAAAGACAACTTCTGAACTCTGACCTTTACAACAGCAAGTATAAGTAAATGTGAATTTGCGAAGACCACAAAGAGAGACTCAGTGGTGCTTCTACTCACTTCCTGTGGAAAGCATGTTGGCATGGTAACACCCCGAGCTCGTCTTTCACTTTAAAGTCCTCCAGACACACGGCACACGTCTGCTGCAAAAGTGACAGATGACACAAAGCGAGATGAGACAGACTCTAAAATTATCCTCAAACATACGGCCATAACTGGACGGAAACCAAACTTACGCCATGAAGGTTTAACTTTTTCGGATCTCCTTTTAACACCACCTGTAGAATTGATAGATGCACACTTTAAAATGAGATGTTTTATTGTGGTAATAATGCTGCTCATTCACACTCCTGCCTTACCTCTCTGTAGCCAAAGCGCTCACTTTGTGCTTGGTGTCGTAGTTTGCTGTCAATGAGATAAAAAAAAATAAAACATTTCAACATAGCAGAAAATAGTCAAGCAACCTGAATGTGCATGCATTATTTAAAAGAGGTTCAACTGTTGTTTAAATACTTTATTTTACCTTAAATTAAAATTGATTACCTCTTTTTTTGTACTCGACAATGACCCTGACTCTTATGCTTAATGTGGTCTAGATGGTATTTTTCCAGAACTCCTGTAAGTCAACGTTTTTTTGCTCATCTACTGTTCAAAAAATGGTTATAACATCACATTATGAAATATGTGCCAAAGAGCCAGAGAGTAGACAAGAAGACTACAAAGTATCAGAGAGAAAAGTTGTTCACCTAAAGCTGTCTATTGATTTTTATGTGTGTGCGAAAAGTGAAGAGTTGAACTTGACCAAACTGCAATGTCTTTGTTTGATGTGGAAACTTAACTTCAGCTAAAACAAAAATAATCTTTTCAGCATTTTTTTTCCTTAGGTCTGAAAAGGTCAAATGACTGACTCTTCTGGTGTTTTAAATCATTACACTGGTTTATTACTTCATTTTAAAGAGCGTCATCAGCCTAACCAATTAGCATGAGTTAGATTTTTTTTTTTAAAACATCATTAGAAAATGATCAAGAAATTGTCAACTGAACTAAAAACCTACGGAAAGTCTTGAAGAATATTCAAAAACTCCTCTTTTAAACAAGTATAGGGTAGTTTGGCTCATAAAAGGCAAAACATGCAGTTAACAAGTATGCTCTAAGTATGATAAACCTAAATGTTTCCAGCATTCAAGGAAATGTAATTAGGTTTTTTATGGGGGCTTTACTTAAAAATACAGAGAAACTGAAAATTTTTCATGACAAACCACAACTAACAATTTCTAACCCTTTATGCATTTATAGTGGGGATTCCCAGTGGGGACATGAAGCAGCCAGTAAGCCTCTAAACCTCACTGTGTTAATGATAATAAAAATAATTGAACTTTATTGATCTCACATTGGGCTGCTCAGTGAGAGAGTGGGTGTCACTGAAGCCCTGCAGCAAGAAGGTTCTGGGTTTGATTCCCGACTCAGGGTCTTTCTGCATGGAGTTTGCATGTTCTCCCTGAGCATGGGTGGGTTCTTTCTGGGTACTCCGACTTCCTCCCACAGTCCAAAAAAATGACTGTTAGGTTATTTGGCTTATTTAAATTCTCCTTAGGTGTGAGTGTGTGTGTGTGTGTGTATGATTGTTTGTCTCTGTGTTTCCCTGCGATGGACTGGTAGACAGCTGGAGAATTGATTGATGACACATTGGAGAAATTTACCTCTGCATTTAACCCATCCCCTTGGGGAGCAGTGTGCTGCTATTGTGCATCACCCGGGGAGCAGTGTGGAGCTCAGGGTCTTGCTCAGAGACCCAGAGTGGCAGTCTGTGGGAGTGGGGTTCAAACCCAGAACCTCAGGATTCGAAGCTCTATGCCCTAACCACTAGGCCGCCACTCCCCTTAAACCCATTTGGAAAACCCTAGGTCCGGTGCAGTATATTTTATGAAGGATTGATTATTCTATCGTCTGAAGGCTGGCATTTTGGTTCATTCTAAAAGCATTGTGCAATTTTTATTCCTTTATTCTGGTGCCTCTTTCAAGAGTTAAGATCTATAAATTCCAGTCATTTCTTTTTACACAAACATTGGAAGAAATTATTGCTAAACGATTCATGAACAAATCCTAATTTATGTCAAGAAGCACACCGAACTTTTCAATTTACCTTGTAAAAAGCCTTTTCTGCTGCCACTGAGACACTTAAATCATTCTTAATTTGGGTGTGACAAAAGTCTTAGGCTGGTGAATCTTATTTTATCTATAGCATACTGATTTCTAATAAATCAAGTCTGGACTGGATGTATTATATTAGGTGTATTTTCCTATCTTGTCAAGCCTTGTGTAGAATCTCTTGCAGATAATTTTCAGATCTGCATTTATAAGTGATATCTATCTATCTATCTATCTATCTATCTATCTATCTATCTATCTATCTATCTACCTACCTACCTACCTACCTACCTACCTACCTACCTACCTACCTACCTACCTACCTACCTACCTACCTACCTACCTACCTACCTACCTACCTACCTGATAGGCTTCAAAGATATTAAAATTTTTATAGTTAAGATCTGTTAACAATCAAAATATGTTATAAAAAGTAAAAAAAAAAAAAGATCCAAATCAAACAGCTTATCGGTTTCAGTGAGATTCAAATTTTTTTGTAACTTGTAAATGTGTAATTAAAATCTTGAAGGGCAGGGATTTTTTTCTTTCTGATAAATAACTGTCGTTTAGAGCCTTAGAAGCCCCAAATTACGGACAAACCTTAAATTCCTCAATTATCAAGCACACAGAAACACCCATGGAGTGACAACTGTACTACAACTACACACGTTCCAATACAGCTAATGAGTATGCAGACTCTTTAAATCACTGACCCTCTCCCCACCCTCCCAAAAATGACAACAATGGCGAGGAGATCTTTATCGCTTAGTGAGTCGCCTCAGTTCGGCAGGTTATTTTTGGCCTCCTGTTTTTTCACAACTATACTTAGAGCCCAATATCCATTACTGTGTGCAGCTGAGTACTAACATAATCATTGCAGCTCAAGCCTCTGAGACAGAAAGCCAAAAATCATAAAACATTATTAATGCAAAACTAAAATGAAATATCTATATCTAAAGTGAGAAAGCATAAGTGAGGAAATGACAGTTATTTTTTTTTTTTTTTGTAAGTTGGTTTATTGTTTACTGCTTCACATGAACAATGTGAGGATACACAGTTTAAATCCGCTGGGATTTCCCATGGGTAGAAAATGATGTGATGACGGAGAAAGGGGGATGGGAATGAGATTTTCAGTTGTGCTAAAAAAAAGTTATGATAGTAGAGCACCTTTAAGCATACATTCCTGTCAAATTAGTCAAAGTTAATTTGGAAATAGTTACACTGTAAAACAACAGAAATGGTTGGGTGATATTTTTTTTTCATTTTTTACAGGCTATGTTGCCTTAGAGCCCAAATAAACAACCTTTATTAATATTCTAAAATATGTTTACATGTAAAGAACTTTAGCCACAAAGCTAAAAAACTCTCAAAGTCTGAGAAAAGCCTCATCAGCCTGTGATTTTTATTCATTTTCACTTAATTAAATCTGTCAGCATTCAGATGTTTATTTAACGCTTCCTGTTTTTTTAGTGTTCAGTCCTTCCAGTTTGCTATCCGATGATTCATCCTCCATTCAGTCCAGCCCACTTCACCTCTAGTTTCAGCTCTCTGACTCTGACCTTGAACCCTTCAAACAGACCCACCCCACCTTGTGATCAGAGGCGTAGACAGAAATTTTTAATAGGGGTGGCCAGTCAAAAACCAGTGTAAACTGAGGAGTGGCCCGAAAGCGAATAGGCGCCAGAACCTCAGGGTCCATCTACACCGTTTCAACAGGAACAAGCACAACATCCATATTTTCTAAATAAAGACAAACTATACATTGCTACTATTTTCATTTTGATTAAAAATAGATGCATATATTTTAACATCCATGCTGTCTAAATAAAAGGTATAGTGGACAAAATATCTGGGGCAAACTAATTTTCCATTGTCATTACTTACCTACTTTTATAAAAAAATTGTTCCGCATAACATTAATATTACGTGTACTAATACCTACATTAAATTGATTTCTAAGTTGTTATGAAAGTAGATATTTATCTATAATTTCACTGAAAACTCCTTGATGACTTGCAGACACATAATTTCTCTTTACCCCATATAACACAAAATTATGGTTTTAAAAGAGCATGAATTCTGTATATATCAACTTTAATGTTAGTATTTTGATGTGCATAATTAACTGCAGCGTTTTAATTGTCAAGTAACTATTAATATATGAAAAATGTAAATGTTTAATAAGTTTAAACATTCCTCTTGATAGTATTACTGCTGCCACCGTCTGTATTAGAGGGAAATAAATGGTAGGGGTGGCCACAGGGGTGGCCAATGATTGGTTAAGGGTGGCCATGGCCACCCCTGGCCCCCCATCTAGTTTCACCCCTGCTTGTGATCACACTTCAAAATAGGCTTTCTTTTGAGTGGAGTGATGTCAGCTTTTCAGCCTCTTTACAGAGACATCATCCACTAAGCTTTAAACCTGTAAGGTCCATTAACTATTTCAACAGTTGCTGTTCTGCTTAGATGAATTGCTCATGGCCGTAGTTTCTTTTCTTTTTAAAAGCTACGCTGAAAGCAAAATAATGTATTGGTGAATATGCTTCGGTTAGTGGTGGTTTTTGTGACTTTTCTGCTTGTTCCAGTTATTATAATACTTTTAGTATGATTAGTTATGCATTTTATAAATATTCAAACCCTGACTAGAAAAACAGATCTTCTGCATAGCAGCCCTTACACGTCAAAACCAACTGGTTTGTGCTAAAATATTGTCATGATTTGTTGAAATTAAGACCTGAAGAGAAGCAACTTCTCCTGGTCAGACCCTGTAATTCAGTTAAAGGGTGGAATCGGAGTAAAAAATAAATATGCACGTCCAGGAGAAGGATGTGGTCACTCCTGTGGTTGGAAGTTGGGGGGATTTAACTGGGAGCTGCAGGGAAGGGCTGCCATTCGCCTGCCGTTTGACTGGGAAGTGTCATTTTGAATGGCTGCTACTGTATTTAAAGTTTTTTTTTATTATTCCATACTTTGACATTGAGCTGCTCTGGAACCAGCAAAACTAATCTCATGTAATGTTAATGTGTTGAAATGCATATTGTTTCATTTCCATCAGTTTAGTTTTTAATTGTGCAGATATTCTTCACTAAAAGGAAAACAGGATGGGGAGGAAAAGGCAGAGTCAAACCAAGCTCCTCTTTGGGCCAAGCAGCAAGAGGAGCAGTGAGGAGAGACATAAAGGGAAAGCAGCTACTTTTAATCATTTTTTTTTATGATTAAGGATGATTACATAAAATATTAATGCAAAGGAAGTCAAA